TGTGGCCCCCCCCCCCCCCCCCCCCTTCCTCCTATATTCAAGCTTGGCTTCTCCATTTTTACATAAATGGCCTCTTTCACACCTCGTTTTAACCAGACCTCCTCCCTGTTTAGGATGTGTACTTGACTGTCTTCAAAGGAGTGACCTTTTTCCTTTAGATGTAGGTATGCTGCCGAATCTATGCTGTGCCATACGCTGGTGTAGCTGCTGTTTTGTTTCACCGACATACAATTCTGAGCATTCCCCACTGCACTGAACTGCATACACAATGTTGTTCATCTTATGTTTTGGCGTTGGGTCTTTTGGGTGAACCATTTGTTGCCTCAGTGTATTGCTGGGTTTAAAGCAGACAGGGATTTGATGGTTTTTAAAAACCCTTCTGAGTTTCTCAGGCAACCCAGCTACATATGGAATGACCACATTTTTCTGTTTGTCTTGCTTTTCACCCTCACTGGTACTCTTGGCATTCTTTCCTCTCCTTTTTTTCTGTTTGCTTTTTTATGTTTTACTACTAGGAAAAAATCAAATGGGAGTTGATAAATGTTTGATTTGTAGCCCATTGTTGAGTCGACTAGCTTGAGACCAGATTCCGGATCCACTCCTCATCCGATGCAACTGTTGAGGACCATGGCACACCAGTGACTTATAGCTGCTCTGATGTGTTTTTTTGTCCACCTACAGCTACAACTCTGCAGTCAGGGAAAGTAATCGGAGATACAGTACACAGTGGTTAGAACTGTGTATGTGTGACACCCTCAAAAGAGGCTTCAATACATTTCTTCTTAAGGGAAACGTGTGGGATATCAGAAATGCTACTGCTGATATACTGTAACTCTTAAAGTCCCAAGTTCTAGGCTTGTCATCCTCATCTGCAGATTTGTTCCTAATAAGTCACTAACCTGGGACCCGCATGTTTATCAGAAGCCCAGAGTAGTAAAGGATAAGGAGGAAAGCTCTAGAGGGTACATTTATCCTGACCTTTTGCCATTAATTATGAAATGAAAAGTGCTGTAGAGTTATGTGGCAGTCTGTCTCTCTTCCCCATAAGTGTATGTAAAGGCAAAACTCTTTCTTGTAGATTTGAATGGGGAAGGGAAGGAATAGAACACCTGTCAGGTTTTTATTACTGCCTGTATCCCTGTTAGGATGAACCTTACAAAAATCTAATTGAAAAATGGATTCCTATTGCAGAGTAGGCCTTTAATTAGACTTGTAGCTTAGTGCAGACTTCTGCAAAAAGCTGCGAGACAATCACACAAGCAGGTAGGTTGCCATATTGCACATAAGCGACATTTAACAGTTTTAGAAAATCACAATGGCTGCAGATTAGAATGGAAAGGTCATTTTTTTGATTACATTAAATTACAAACTAGTTTGTGAAGTAATTAAATATGATATATAACTTTGTTTGACAAAGGTGATGTTTCCTCTAAGTTCCTTAATCTGTTATCCTTTAGCAAACCTCATAGAATCTTATGTGTCCTATTACAGTTACTATCAGAGGGTCAAAGTCATGTAGCCCAGCTGGTCAACTCGGTCAGTGAAGTGCTGGATAACCTTCAAAGAGATCATGGCCGATCCCGTGGGAAGGGAGATCTTGTACGGACACCAGCCAAAAGTACCAAGTCTCGTGGCTGCACCAATGGTGAGTTTTAGTAAAATGCTTGCCATATTTATAAATTAATATTAATTATATTAATTAATTCATATTAACATATTGATTAAATTATATATAAAAAATATTAGTATTATCATCCCTTATAGTATTACACTGTATGCAGTATTGCGCAAAAAGTAAATAACTGAACTATATGCAGATACACTAAATAGAAGAATGACTTGACAAGTTTCTACATATAACATGAGTGACAGAACTTCCCTGATACATTGTATTCCGAAGGCTTAAAATTTGGCTCAGTTTATGTACAAAATGGCAAAGAAAAAGATTGCTTTGAAATGACTTCCTGATCCTCTGTCCGCCTCCTTCTCCTCCACGATCGACTCCACCGTCACTGGGCCCCGCCCCCTCGATCACCGGGTTCCGCCCCCTCGATCGCCGGGCCCCGCCCCCTTGTTCGCCGGGCCCCGCCTCCTCGATCACTGCCGATG